ATATATATACGAGCTGCCATCGGCGCTTCGCGCCTTGGCAGCTATAGGCGCTACGCGCCTCGCGATCAGGTAAGAAAATGCCCCGCGTTAAATTCGAGACAGGGACACTTTGAAACCATAAAACCTGCATAAAATGTGCCAATTAAGCTGTATTTGTGTGCATATTTTGTGCATATCTGTCTTACTTCTGTATCAATAGTAAAAAAATTAGAACCGAGCGCTTTGCGGTAAGGTCGATGGAAATGCATCAAAATGCAGCTTTCTTCATGAAATTATATTTCCTTAAAAGATGCACAAGAATTGCATCAACAATATTCAAGAATTGCGGCGCGGCGCAGTGTGTAGGACTGGATCGATTTGTTTTTGTAAGCCAGGGGCCCGTTGTCAGAAACAAAATTAGTCTTAATATTAGTCTTAACATTAAAAATTTCTCCTACCGACCGTCGACATCACTTTGTTTCGTATTGTTATGAGGAAATCTGCTACGATTTTTTATTCTCGTAACTTCGCAGCGTTTCTGTCAACGGTCTAAGAGAAAAAGTTAATGTTAAGACTAATGTTAAGACTAATTTTGTTTCTGACAACGGGCCCCATGTGTGTACGCGGGCGTACGGGGTTACAGCGCATGCACCAGTCTCGACCAATCACGACCAAGTGCATCGAAGCAGTAGCAGCAGCAGCAGCAGCAGCAGCAGTAGGACCCGCGCCAAATATATAAATATATTTATATATTTATAAGTGAGATCGGAAAGTCCAGCTGTGCTATTTAGGTCAGAGAAAAAGGAGGTATAAAATGGCCGAGGCGCGCTTAAGAAAGTACATGATTATTGTATACACTCGTGCGTTTTTAGTTTTTTGCATTAACACAAACATTGCAAAATATCCCAAATGACCACAATCATATTTGTAAATGTTTCTGTAAAGAGAAACGCACCTGTGAATTGAGGTACGATGTTAGTGAAGAGAATTATAGATCAAAAACCTAGACTAGTACGATTGTCACTATGTTATAACATAGCTATGTTATGGCAACTTATACCCCCTCTTATCTGATCTCATTATGGCGACGGGTACTTTCCGATATGGCTTATTAGCGAGTCTTTCAAAATCCGCCTTCATATCAAACGGTATGTACAATTGCAGAGCTTGAATTACGAGCGCCAAAGGATGGTGTCAAATAACTCGCGTTGTTTTTCCCCGAAAATCGGTATTATTTTAGCTCATTTCGGCGTATAAATCAACGTTATTGAGTAATCTCGGAACCGCTTTCGATCAGAAACTGTAATTAAAATCCGTATTATGCAATTTATGCCAGCATCTACACAGCTACGTGATTCGATCGCCTGGATATATCTAGACAAAGCCATATAACGCAAGCTCATACGTTAGACGTTGGTCCGAAAAGAAACAATGCAATGCAAAAGTAGGTGGCCTGTTTTCGAAAGCATCACAAATAGTTATGAATATCATGAGTCTAAAATGCCATGACTTTCGCAGGACGTTTCACTTGAAATGTTGATATTAGACCTATAATGTAATAACTACTTAAGATGGATCTGACAACAGCCCCTGGGGTGTTATTATACACGCGTACACACGAGAAAAGCAAATTAATTCTGAGTTTACACAATTAAGACGACTGTCGATAACGAATATAGAATCTGCAAATTTGTAACAATAGTTCACGAGCACGACATTATACCATTAGCCAATTAACACGAGCCCAAGTTACAACTTTAAATGGGCTCTTCCAGCTTTCAATTAAATACAGTATTCTACTTTGGCGCATGAAATTCTCATATGTCATGTATATAATAAATTGTTAGGATTACTTTAGGAACGGAGCAACTATATATTTGCGTAAAAGTAATACCAAAAAATTACGAATATAGAGGTGAAAAAACGCACACAAACTGCAAAACAGTAAAACAAAAGCAATGCGATAAGCTAAATCACAGCACCCTAATGTAAGCAGCAAATTAATGGATATTGTTTATAAAGATAAATCAGTGACAACAGAAGTGTGTCTTTGTCACCGAGGAGACGTGTCGAATGAAGGTGAGTAAATAGTCCCCGTAAAATAAATAGTTACGTGCGACAGTCGTGATTCAAAATTCTAATGATAGCGATGGGGCTAAATTTGTTGATAAAATACCAACTAGGAATGCAAGAACGTCGGAGCTATTGCTTAATGCTTACTGATACCCTGTCATGCTGAAACAATAAAGGAACCTATAAATTAATAGATTGGGATGAAAAGGGGCATTGACATTAATGTTAATTGGCTGTTGATATTGTTAATACATGATGATTAACAAGCAATACTAGCAAGATAGTTGTGGTGAATAAAATATCGCGTGGATAAGGTAAGTATGCTATTATAACTTGTTTTTTTTTATAAAATTCAACAACAACAACAACAACAATAATAATAATAATAATAATAATAATAATAATAATAATAATAATAATAATAATAGTAATAATGTTTGAATAGGAATTAACCGCGGGAGGTCCATTTCCTCAGTTAACTAGATTTCACGGCGTCGTAGGCATGGAATGTGAGGAGGAAAGGTGCATTCAATACGACCGTGGAAGCAATTAATCTACACAATGCCCGTAAATTGCCCAAAGAAGGCGGAGATCGCTCCGTCTTGTTGTGACCATCATGAAGCATTCTTGTGCGACAATATTCTTCCTCTCGCTACTATACTACAACATTTATCTTCCATTATTTTCACCGTTTATTTGTCACTAGGCGCCTGCTAGTATCTCCATATTTGGACACAAAATCTGTTTCACGCGCATTTCACATCTCGACTTGTCAACGTACTATCTTATTTTTCACGCGGTTCACACATTTGACAATTATTTGTCTATTACTGTTTATAATAATAATAATAATAATAATATAATAATAATAATAAAATAATAATAATAATACCATTGCCATTATCAGGATATTGGCGATATTATTATAGTTATGATTATATATATATATATATATATATAATAATAATAATAATAATAATAATAAATTAGATTGACATGATAGAGCAGACCTAGGGCGGCTATTCAACGGGCGGCCCACACGTGTAGTGCGAGTACATTATAACGAGTTCACCTAACAATCGTACCTGCTATGTTTAATTTACTCTCCGTGTCGAAATCTGCTCTCTTTCCGTATCGCGTCTGTGGATCCCACCGCCTAACGATGTCTGTACAGAATCGAAATAGATGATAAATGTTGAACACGAAATACAATTCCCTATCGCATGGCGTTTTGATTAGGTCTGGAATGAAAAAAGAAGTTATTTTCTCTCCGCACACAATTCCCGATGGTACACTTACTGTAGAATTCGTCACTCATAATAAACCATTTGAGTATAGGTTTGTGTTGATGATAAAAAAGCAACTGTAGTAGAACGATATGCTGAGATGGTTCAAAAGCCTGAAATTCTGTTTGGCTGTTAATAATTTATTTTCAAGCGCAAGCCACATGCAGCAGATATTAAAAGATGGAAAATTGAGCGAACAATATCGTTATATATATATTGTGTTAATATTTTTTAACATATATTTTACGATATATTAAAGAATGATGCAAAAACCCTAAAAAGTGCCCTAACCCTAACCCTAACCCTAACCCTGACCCTAATTAAATTTAAAATATATGTTAAAATTAGAAGTGCCTAGTAAACATATCCTATCACCCCTTTCAGCCGGCTGCGACTATTACTGGGCGATTGCAGCGCCATCAATGAACGAATCGGGGTAGCTTCCAGCAGCCATCGGGGATTAACCCACCCACAACCAACCGCTTGGAAACCGTCCTGAAGCTACGGACGCACATTCCGGTTGCAATTGTGGGACACCAACGTTCGTTTCGTTAGGGCATGTTCGAGAAACAACCGAGACATTCTGGGGTATTGCGAATATGCTCCCAACACAACCACATGTATATACACATATATATTTATATATATACAATTAAACATTGCTTTATAATGCGTATTTACTGCGCGATAACATAAAGGAGCAAAGCGCCCGGTCGCGCGCCCGCGGGGATATTGTATGGGGTGTGAAACGGGAGATCCTCTCCATTAAACTGACATTGGATTTCAGATAGAAACGCAATCGTTTGATGACAGGTGCAGCTCTTCGCGTGTCCACTGGTGCCCCCGAACAATCCGCTATCCCGTCCACGTGTAACGGGATATGAGAAATTTACCGGTACATACGCGATAAAGGGCACAGCATGTGCTACAGCAACCTCAGCCATCACCGCGTCTTTTGGATGAGTGATCATTGCACTAATGCAATATCTGTACTAGGTTCATAGAGTTAATGAGACTTCTATTATACCCCAAACGTAGCGATATGTTATATACAGTTATGGTCCCGGGGTAAAAAGCAACAGATTATTGACCGCGAAAAATGCTGGCAATAGCAATAAGACGCGTTTACACGGCGAAAGGTATATCGGAAAATTAATCCAGTTTTTATTTATCTAGGTATAATTAATGTAGCGTAATATTGTACCAATTTGCATGGACCCGGACTCTGACACATCCGCATGATATTGAAATACCCGGAACCCGCGTGCGTGTTTACGCTTATTCGCAAACCGTGTGATGTTATCCGGTGTGATTTTCCCTTTCGTTTTCGACAACCACACGCGTACTAGACAAACTTAGCGTCGAGGTCGATTTAGTACGCGTTTATTTACACGGTCAGGTGTGGGTGGCTCTGGCCAATCGGAATTGCGCCAATGTCGTTCTAAACACGTTGCTTACCAACGAAGTGCCACAATGTCGACCATTTGACGTGCACGCGCAAAAAAACATATATAAACTGGCTTCGCTTGACCGACTTAGCAATGGTATATATTGTGACGTGCTCGCTTCGCTTAAAATAATGAGACAGCTGTTGTTTTTATTGTTTTTTTATAAGTTCGCACTTGTTTATTGGCGCTTTTTGCATAGGGAGCCTGTTGTCAGTAAAGCGCAACGCACACACCCGAGCAAAACGCGAAATAAGCCCAACGCACACACCCGAGCAAAACACCGGAACGTGGAGAAAAACATGTTTCGCTCGACGATCTGCAGCCGGATATCCGCGCGAAGCGCGAACAGCGCCGCCTCGCGGCCCCTTTTGATCGAAATCGCTGCCCTGTTGAAAAAAAATTTCCGACAGTGCCCTATGGGTAGAGGATAAAGCGGTGTAATCGGTCAATTGAGCAGTTGTGGGCATTCCAGAAGCCTTTCGAGTATGCACGTAGGGCGAGCATAAATCCAAATGCTCGTTTTTGTTGGTTTGCGGCTCGGCGCGTGTCCTTTTCGTGTAGAAAAATAATTTACCCTTTTCGCTGGTTCATGCCCTGACATTAATTTGGAAGTTATCGCGACCCATAGATGGCGCAACGAGTCCATCTACGTACCATTTTCAAGTATTTAAAAAAAAAACGCTTGGCTCGATGACCTAGACTGCTGCGCGGTGCACAGTTCGACACGCTAGCGTAATCCACTTCAGTGTAGCAAACGATGTTGGCTGAGTGAAGGTCGCGTATCGTCTAGTCCTGCAAATCGTCATTGCCGCTCCGACTTCTCGTATCCATTCTTAAGACACCAATGTGATGTTCTCATGTTTGCCTTATGATATATCACGATGTTATCTGGGAAAAGCTCGCTTCGTGTCAAGCGGCGTGGCGTGGCGTGCGTTGCGAGAATTTCGTCAAGTTCTCTGTGTTGATTTATACGCGTTGACACAAGCTCGGTTACGAACAGAGACATTTATGTTTTATAAGAAGTCAACACTGTTTTTCAATAAGAAACAAGATCGAAGCTGGATTGGATGAGTATTTGTTTTTGAAATCGTTTTGAGAGCGTACGTGTACAGATTCTGGTTGCCATAATATTACATCGTTCCAGCGTGCTGGCTATAGGCAAAAACTTCTGTTACCCCTGTCGACCCGAAAAACTGTGGAAACTCGCCTGCTCGCAGTTACCTTGGCGGTGCAAGCCATATGATCGCATATAATTAGCACGGACTCCTTACGAGCTTCAACAACGGACCTGACGATATACGTTTCAAGCATACTAGGCTACCTCTTATGTGTTAATGCTATCGTGAGTTTATTTACGTCGGCATTGTTTGTATATAGGTGAACATTCTCGGCACCAACGATAGGAGAACGATGCGCGTCCAATAAACCAATGTGCCCTAACCCTAACCCTCAACTAAACCCTAAATTCTAACCCTAACCCTAATTAGCCTAACCTAACCCTAACCGCTAACCATAACCCTAAACCTATGTATATATTGATATAAACATCTTTCATTATATTGCATGTAAATGACATTGAGTTTTAGCATATTGCGGAACCATGTTGCTCTATCTTGAACAACATTTCTATGTACATAATAGAGGCATATGGATTTGCGGCAATTGTATTATTTATTATTAATTAAAAAAACCCAAAAAGGCTTATGCTGTTCGCGCAGCTGTCCGCGCGTTATCATTGAAGGTCCGCTGACGCATAATAATAAACCCGACAATTTCATATGAAACTTTTACAATCACAGTGTAGCAAGTAGACGCTGGTGTTTGACATTCTAGCTATTGATATTTTCATTTGAACTTGTATTCCTTGGTAAATTAACGTTCAACAACTAGCTGAACGGCTAGAGATTACGGCTATCGGCCAATATATTAGCGAGCGGAGCAGGTTGGTGGGGTTGCGCTGTGTTCAATTTTATGTGAGATATTATCGTGTCATTGTTTGTATAATAGGTGTACATTTTATTTACATCAACTAGAGGCGCTTTCATGTTTCCGCATATATTATTATAAACCGTAGCCTTATGTATCCGCTGCACCTGGCGCTCGTGTACATGAAGCACTGAGCGCATAATTAGAATACAATTCATAAAAAAACTTATACAACACAGTGGGTTAGGAAGTTAATAGGTGCTTTGACACTTTTATAGTATATTTTTTGAATGCAGCTGCAGCTGTTTGCATTGTATTCCGGTATAAATTACCGACGTGTGTCGCTGGCAGCTATGGATTCGTGCGCCGGCCTATGCATTCGGCGCAAGCGATCCATAGCTGCCAGGCCTGCATAACTTTCGTAGGACGTTCCGCGCGTTGCTGGTGCCCTTGCTGCGCCGAAATTTGCGCAGCAAGATCTGCGTTATAGCGCTTGGGATCACACCTCCTTTCGCGGCAACGTGCTTCTCTAGTATATCCCGAGTCTATCTGGATGTTCGTGGCTGTGGCAAGATCGCCGAAACAAGGACAGACATTGCTCTAGCTGCAGCGTGGTTTTCGAGCTGGAACAGCAATGTTTTGATTCGCGGAGCGTGTCTTTCGGCCGTGGAGCGTACTGTTTTATATACGTTTTGCTTCGGATCGTGGTGTGACGTCAAATTGTTTCTGCTACACATGCGAAACGCCACGAGCGGTTCCCAATCAAGGTATCCTTCAAAAATATTCATGAGCGACACAAAATTCGTGGTTGTTCGATTCGGAATGGGCTATTTCTTTGATGTCATTGACAGCGGCTGCGTCGATGTTACGCAGTGTTTTCTGTATGTTTTGCCTCAGCTGCTGTGGCTGTTGGATCGTGGGTGGACGTGCTGTGCGCTTGCTTGCCTGAGCAGACGCCGAAAACGCCTGGGAAACAATCTCCGTTTTGCTCGGGTGTGTGCGCTAGGCTTTAACATCAGATGTATTTGTGAAATCGTAAGTCTGAAATTTTATAACGCATGAAGTGAAAAGGTTAAGACAGTTTAGACTGATGATAGCCATTAACTACATACGATGTTGCTGACAACGGACCCCTGGTCGTGTTACTCCTATCAAGCTTGCGGGTTAAGGTGCTCTAACCTACCAGTACACCCTCAAATTACACCCCCAAAATACACACACAATACACCCACAATACACCCACAATACTCACACAATACATCCACAATACACCCCCAATACACGTCACAATACACCCACAGTACGCGTCACGCTGTAAACAGCAATAACGGTAAAACAACAGCACAGCCAATTGCATTTTAAGGATTTATACAGAGCAGTTGTTATAGCATAAGAAGAAAAATATTAACAGGCTACCGAATACACAACAGAAGCTACAACCAGCGTATAATCAAATCGGTGCGCCCATTTATAATCCAATTAAATCAGCAATCTCATCAGCAATGGAAGAATAAACACTTCTATGCATGCCACTCTTCTAACGTGTCTCACCGTTTTCGTACACTGTCAGACCGGCCGGGAAGTCGTCGCTTCGCTTGCCGTAACGTGTGTTCGGTCGCCACTGTGCCACGGTGCCGTCGGCAGCGATCAACACTGAGATTAGAGCGATCAGGACGAATGTAACGATGGACGAGAAGCTCAGGGAAACCATGCTCGCAAATCTGGAATGATGAGAGAATCGTGCGAGCATAAAAAATGCGAAAGAATCGTGTATGAAAATGCGAGAGGATCGTGTATGAAAATGCCGGGATTATACATAGAAATGCAAGAACCTTTCATACAAAAATGCGAAAGAATAATGTGTAATAATGAATCATATAGAAAAAATGCAAAAATCATTCATAAAATGTGAAAAAAATTGTGTATAAAACACAAGAATCATGTGTAAAAATATAAGAATCTATTATCAAACTGCAAGATAGTGTATAAAAATGCGTATGTGTGTGTGTGTGTGTGTGTGTGTGTGTGTGTGTGTGTGTGTGTGTGTGTGTGTGTGTGTGTGTGTGTGAGAATAGATAGATAGATAGATAGATGATAGATAGATACGATAGATAATAGATAGAAAAAATAGATAGATAAATAG